TTACGGCATTTGGGGAGTGCCAGAACAGCCTCCGTTCCCGAGGGTTGGGCACTCACCTGTGTAATTCTTGCCGAAGAGCTGCATGCCCATCACGGCGAAAATGAAGATGATAATACACAAGACGAAGGTCAGGTTACCCAAGGCGCCAACGGTCTTACCCATGATGGAAATGAGGAGATTGAGTGTCGGCCAAGACTTCGCCAGTTTGAAGACACGAAGCTGGAGAGGGGAGAGGAAGAGGGTTACCGTAAGAACAGCTGCGGGGAAGTGCAGATCTTCCTTCACACACGTGGCATGCAATGAATGGAATATTATCAAAAATATGAATACAGGAAATTTTGACTGTTTTATGAGGCACTGAAGGTAGTGAGAGGAAACGAAAAACCCTCAGTGTAAGCAAAAATTGTGATCGTTCTCACTAACGATCTCATTCTGACAATAGAAAAAGGGAGCCTAGATCTTCTTATGAGGGTGGCCTTGCTCTCACTAAAAGAAAACAGGGGGTCCCGTTCTTGCTAAAGATGAAATAGGAACTAAAGGGAAAATGGGGCCCTGATCTCGCCAAAGAAACACCTTATGCCTCATTAACACTAAAGCAACACCGGGACCCTCCTTTCACCACAGGAAAACAAGGTCCCCGTTCTCACTATAGGAAAAAAAAATGAAGGTTTTGCTCTCACTGAAGAAAATCAAAAGGAAATGGCCTCCCTTTCGCTAAGAGGAGTCCAGGACCTCGCTCTCACTCATCAATCACAACGCCTTAGACTCATTGACGCTAAATTAATACAGGAAAACAAGGCCCCCGATCTCACTATAAAAACAATTAAGGCCTTGCTCCCACTGAAGAAAATGAAGAGGGGATGCCCTCACTCACTAGAAAGCCCGTTAACCATGAAAACAGGGCCCCCACTCTAACTATAGAAAAAATGAAGGTCTTGCTCCCACTGAAGAAAATGAAAAAGAACTTCCCCCACTCATTGTAAGGACCCCAGGACCCCGCCCTCACTGTAGAGGCAATGAATGCCTTGCTCCCACTGAAGAAAACCAAAAGGGGATGTCCTCACTCGCTGAAAGGACCCCAGGACCCCAGGACCCCGCCCTCACTATAGAAGCAATGAAGGCCTTGTTCCCACTGAAGAAAATGAAAAAGAACTGCCCCCACTCTCGCTGAAAGGACCCCAGGACCCCAGGACCCCGCCCACACTCACCAATCGAAACGACCTCAACACCGACAGGCCAGACACGTTGGCGAGACCCAGCTCGAGCAACGACAGCGCCACGATGATGAAGTCGAAGATATTCCACCCTTCTTGGAGGTAATACTTGGGGCTCATGGCGATGATCTTGGCGAAGCACTCGATACTGAAGGTGGCCGTAAAAAACTGTCGGGGCGGTACAAGGGAGGCGTTAGCGGGCTCGGGGGTCAAGGGAGGCGTTAGCGGGGCTCGGGCGGTACAAGGGAGGCGTTAGCGGGCTCGGGGGGGGGAGGCGTTAGCGGGGCTCGGGGCGTACAAGGGAGGCGTTAGCGGGGGCTCGGGGCGGTACAAGGGAGGCGTTAGCGGGGCTCGGGGCGGTACAAGGGAGGCGTTAGCGGGGCTCGGGGCGGTACAAGGAGGCGACAAGGGAGGCGTTAGCGGGGCTCGGGGCGGTACAAGGGAGGCGTTAGCGGGCTCGGGCGGTACAAGGGAGGCGCGGGCTCGGGCGGTACAAGGGAGGCGTTAGCGGGGCTCGGGGCGGTACAAGGGAGGCGTTAGCGGGCTCGGGGCGGTACAAGGGAGGCGTTAGCGGGGCTCGGGGCGGTACAAGGGAGGCGTCGGGGCTCGGGGCGGTACAAGGGAGGCGTTAGCGGGGCTCGGGGCGGTACAAGGGCGTTAGCGGGGCTTAGGGAGGCGTTAGGGGGGCGGGGCGGTACAAGGGAGGCGTTAGCGGGGCTCGGGGCGGTACAAGGGAGGCGTTAGCGGGGCTCGGGGCGGGCAACAAGGGAGGCGTTAGCGGGCTCGGGGCTACAAGGGAGGCGTTAGCGGGGCTACAAGGAGGCGTTAGCGGGGCTCGGGGCGGTACAAGGAGGCGTTAGCGCGGGCTATAGGGGGGTACAAGGGAGGCGTTTACAAGGGAGGCGTTAGCGGGGCTCGGGGCGGTACAAGGGAGGCGTTAGCGGGGCTCGGGGCGGTACAAGGGAGGCGTTAGCGGGGGCTCGGGGCGGTACAAGGGAGGCGTTAGCGGGGCTCGGGGCGGTACAAGGGAGGCGTTAGCGGGGCTCGGGCGGTACAAGGGAGGCGTTAGCGGGGCTCGGGGCGGTACAAGGGAGGCGTTAGCGGGGCTCGGGGCGGTACAAGGGAGGCGTTAGCGGGCTCGGGGCGGTACAAGGGAGGCGTTAGCGGGGCTTAGCGAAAGGGAGGCGTTAGCGGGGGGGGCGGTACAAGGGAGGCGTTAGCGGGGAGGCGTTAGCGGGGCTACAAGGGAGGCGTTAGCGGGGCTCGCTACAAGGGAGGCGTTAGCGGGGCTCGGGGCGGTACAAGGGAGGCGTTAGCGGGGCTCGGGCGGTACAAGGGAGGGTTAGCGGGCTCGGGGCGGGTACAAGGGAGGCGTTAGCGCGGGCTCGGGCGGTACAAGGAGGCTGTTACGGGGCTCGGGGCGGTACAAGGGAGGCGTTAGCGGGGCTCGGGGGCGGTACAAGGGGAGGCGTTAGCGGGGCTCGGGGCGGTACAAGGGAGGGCGTTAGCGGGGCTCGGGGCCAGGGAGCGTTAGCGTTTTAGCGGGGCTCGGGGGCAGGTACAAGAGGCGTTAGCGGGGTGGGCGGTACAGGGAGGCGTTAGCGGGGCTCGGGGCGGTACAAGGAGGCGTTTAGCGGGGCTCGGGGCGGTACAAGGGAGGCGTTAGCGGGGCTCGGGGCGGTACAAGGGAGGCGTAGCGGGGGCTCGGGGCGTACAAGCGGAGGCGTTAGCGGGGCTCGGGCGTACAAGGGGCGTTAGAGGGGGAGGCGTTAGCGGGGCTCGGGGCGGTACAAGGGAGGGGTTAGCGGGGCTCGGGGCGGTACAAGGGAAGGCAGCGGACACAAGGGAGAGCGGGCTTTAGCGGGGCTCGGGGCGGTACAAGGAGGCGTAGCGGGGCTCGGTTAGCACAAGTGCGGGGGACAAGGGAAGCGGGGCTCGGTAGCACAGGGAGGCGTGGGGCTCGGGGCGGTACAAGGGAGGCGTTAGCGGGGCTCGGGGCGGAGGGAGGCGTTAGGTACAAGGGAGGCGTTAGCGGGGCTCGGGCCTAGGGTCGGTACTTAGCGGGGCTCGGGGCCGGTACAAGGGAGGCGTTAGCGGGGCTCGGACAAGAGGCGTTAGCGGGGCTCGGGGCGGTACAGGGAGGCGTTAGCGGGGCTCGGGCGGTACAAGGGAGGCGTTAGCGGGGCACAAGGGAGGGCGTACAAAGAGCGGGGCTCGGGCGGTACAAGGGGCGTTAACAAGGGAGGCGTTAGCGGGGCTCGGGGGGGGGGGGGGGGGAGGGAAGGGGGTGAGGGGTGGGGGAGGATGGAGGGACGCGAGGAGAGGGAGGGAAGACTCAGGGGTTGTAAGATCATAAAAAAGGGAAATGAAAAGAAGAAAAAAAGGGAAAGTTAATCGATGGTGGAGAGGGACAGAAATGAATAACCGAAAAATAAAGAAATGAAAATAACGGAAAATAACTTGATCACGATAAGGACGTTAGGTATATATAAAAGACAAAATAATAATCATCGCAATAGACGAAGATCAAATACGAGAAGAGAGATTAGAGAGCTTTATGCAGTCAGAAGAAAAAGAAAGACAGAAAAAAGAGTAAGAGAGAGAGAGAGAGAGAGAGAGAGAGAGAGAGAGAGAGAGAGAGAGAGAGAGAGAGAGAGAGAGAGAGAGAGAGAGAGAGAGAGAGAGAGAGAGAGATAAATAGATAGATATATAGATAGATAGAGAGAAAAAGGAAAAAAAATATAAATCATCTATCACGGCGGAGACTAAATATAGAAAACTGGGACTGTAGAGAAAATATCAAGAAATAAGTAAACAATAAAAAAAAATCCCGTAAATCAACTGCAATTGAAATAAAAATCCCGTTTTGTAGTTCTCGTATTTTCGCATTCATAAATAAGAGACAATTCAAATGAACAAAATGTCGCTTTAGTACAAACCACTTTAATTAAGGCAAATCAACCACGTGACCAACTAATAGATAAGGGAAAATAAATAGAGGGATAAACTGATGAACAAATAAAACATTATATCAGAAACTTCTGGAATTTATATGCAAGTGCAAGACATATATAAAACAAAGAATCATCAGAGAGACAGACATGTGTGCAAAAATGATTATGAGAACATCAATAATAACAAACAGAATCAGTCGACAATTGACACAACAATTACATGTGAACAAAATAATACAGAGGTACACATAGATGCTCGTAGCAAAGGACAAACAGACTTTGGTTAAAACTAATCAAACTCCATTAAAAAAGATCCTGGAGATATTAAAAGAATGAAGGAGGGAAACAAGTAAACGCGAATAAATAGAGGGAGAGAGATGATCGAAGAAAAAAAGATACTGAAATACGGGACACAGAATAATAACGAGAAATTTAGATGAATAATTATGAACAAATCTGACTTTTTAAAAAATTCAAATCAAATTTCGAATGGCCAATGATAAGAAATACATATTTTTTGCAACCTCTCTCTCGAAGTGACAAAAATCTGACAGAAATAAAATTCAAAGGTTACATCAAAATCTGTGTATTACGTGCCTTCAGATTTCAAGGGATACAGTGTACTAAAACCACTATCTACTCCTGGGAAAAACTTCACGTAAATAAACTTCCTTTTCTTTCTATTTTTGACGAATAGATTTTGACATTGATTCCTTTATTTACCTCCAAATCACCAAATTTAGCTTGCGAATTAAATAGGTTCATTAATCAAATGTAAACCTTAATTGGTCATATCTTTAATCAAAATTGCTTTATCGCGGTATCAGTTATATCCCATATCAATTATACTACGTTATGTCACGGTACAATTATCCAGGTTACAGTTTAAATGTAGTATTATGTAATTTTGTGTATCAACTTACACTTAGCTATGATTTTAATGCTATCGTATGTACCGTTATAATTTGTTATATTACGTTATATTTGTCTATTACATCTCACGTGAAGTTTATTTTCTCTAAGATATGTTACACCTTATTTTACACTATACGATGTGTTCTATTTGGTTATATTGTGTCATACTGTACTAGGCTATATAAAGATAACGTGAACACGAGAAACAACAGAATACAGGTGGTATTAAATGCTGTTCTCTTGAAAAAAATAAATATAACATTCTTCACAGATTATTTAACGAATTGTTCAACTTATTATTACACTAGTAGCTAAACTGGTTGGAGGCATATTGAAATACACAGATTTGTAAATTGGGGAAACACGATCTAAAACTACATTCTTATCATTAATACGTTTTGAGTGCAGCTGTGTGTCATGCGAAGGAGAGGCTAAACTAATGAGTGCTCTTCCCTGTCATGCACGACTGGGTCACTTTCCTCCCAGTGTCATGCAAAGGGTACACATGAACACCACTCTCGATAGTTACCTTCGGTCGATACACCCCCACACTCCTACACAAACAACCAAACGTGAAGCCAATGCAATGATTTCGCAAAAGAGTGGAAGGAGAGATAATAAAAGAGGAAATGAAGAGAGAACGAGATAGGGATGCATGACAAGCTGGATCCAGGTCGCGATGAATCCACATGCGTTGGGAGGAGGAGCTTGAGGTGACCCGGATTGACCTTGCAACAGGTCAGGGCAAGAAGGAATGACCGAGTGACACGCACGTATTCACAAGCGTGCACACACATACATACGTGTATGCACAGGCGCAACTAAAGGCCTAAAAGTAAATAAACCCGTGTTTATTTACAATTTGCAGATACACACATATACAGAGGCACAGCCATGGACGCACACACAACTATAAGCATATATACACACATACACAGTCATACCCATGCAGATACACATATACACACTCACATCCATTGACATACATCCACCTACACGCCTATACGCAAACGCAAACACACACACACACACACACACACACACACACACACACACACACACACACACACACACACACACACACAACTTGAACTTTGACGCATTACATTATATAAAATACACGTTACAATGTCTGATTATTTTTCTTAAATCATCGACTTAACGATGTCCATTAACGATTCAATTCTTTGTAACTATACAAGGTGAATACGTCCAGATTTATTTATTAACAGCATTAAATCAAGGAAAGGCTATTGTATTCACTTAACACCTTATGATATACAAAATCTTTTAGAAAACCCAGTATGAATGACAATGTGATCGCCTTATGAATGATAAGTCATTGAAACAAATTATATATATATTTTTTTCTGAAATAGGTTGATTTTGTGACATTTTTTTTATACTATATATTTGTCAGACGCAAATACACGCAAACGGACAAACTCTTTCTTTCTTCTCTCTCTCTCTCTCATATACATGTATACACTTATACAACACACACACACACATACACACACACACACACACACACACACACACACACACACACACACACACACACACACACACACACACACACACACACACAAGCCACCGGAAGAGAAGCCAAAGAAAAGTGTGACGTCAGTGAGCAAGAAGTCAGCCGAGAGAGACTGTGAGCTGCAGAGTCTTCAGCGAAGGAAAATTCGCGTGGTAGAATCGTAGACGGCAGAGCAGGTGCAGCGGTGTGAAGAAATTGAGATGGGCCCAGGGGGGAGGAGGGGGAGGGGGGGAAAGGGGGAGGGTCTTGTATTGTTAAATGAAATGGGGTTTGGGGAGTATTGGGTTGGGGAGGGGGGGGGGATAGGAGAGGGCGCTGAGCACCCTGATGCGGAGAGAGAGAAGGGAAGGGGAGGGGAGGGGAGGGAGGGGGAGAATGGGGATGGGCCGGTGAGGCGAAAATGTGTGAACAGTAAGCACGAAGGGGATACTTACGTAGTTTCCAGTCTTCAAGAAGTTTTCAAATTCCTTGTTCATGCCGTAGTGGTCCATGGCCATGAAGAGTGTGTTGACGGCGATACAGAGAGTGATGAACAATTCCACAAATGGATCAAAGATAATGGTCTCAACAAATTCTGCAAATCTGACCCAAACCCTACAACAGTCCCAGACACAGAAGAGGTCGATGCATTTCATCAAGTATTCGTACACTTTTCGCTTGATCTTATCCTTAAGAGTCTCTTCCTCCTCGTCTGCAGGGAAATAATAGTAAGAAACTGTAAAAACGAGTTAGTAAAGGCTCTTCGACCCGAGGAAGGTAGGACGGCACACTTAGCTAGCTACAGAAAACGGACGGGGTGCGTCAACCTTCCACAGAAAATGGGAAAAAAAAAAATCTGGTAGCATATACGTCACATTTTTATATCCAAATCGCCCCCTTGTCAATTTCGTACTCGAAAAAAGAAGACAAAAAAGGGATTTTAAAACTTATTACCAGTATAGAGGCGTTCATCTGTATTTATTTGTATGGATCTATATAATCAAAAACAAGAACAAGTTACGGACCCCGTCACACACAAACACAGACAGACTACGAGAGGGGGACCCGGTATAGTCGAGAAGAGCAAATAAAATTAGTAAATATTAGACACAGAACAAAAATTATGTGCCTCCGCCTTCTTGGCTTGCTGCAGGGAGGAAAACATTAACTCATTAAACATACAAATACACATTTTCAGATATATAGGCCTATGTCATATATTAATAATTTTTCTATTTAAGTTTAACCTATACTTGAACATTTTCTATTGACCTATTGTCTGCAAATCCCTATCACTAAAAGCTAACTTTCTTTAACTAATCATATTTAAAAAAGGTAAATATATATCTAAAATTTATGAAATATTCAAAATCGATAGCAATTTAATTTAATCTACTAAATACAAGCTTTGCAATTCAACAAAGAGAAAATTGATTCGTTACTTCATACTTATAGCACAAAGTAATATATATTCTTTTAATTATAATAACCTACACTAATTTAGTAAAATATACTTACCAAATCATATAACATTCAGTAATATACTACACCTAACCTCTAAGATTCTCAAAATGACAAATATTAATAAACAATTCCATATTTAAGCTTATAAAATGTTACCTTTAACAAACCTTATCAAATATTCCTAAAATATAAATTAAAATGAACTTGAACAAGTACTCTCATAACATCATATTTCACTGCAAAATACCTGAGGCCTAAAATACCCTAAAATGCCCTAAAATACCCTGAAATATGAATAAATACCCTTATAATGAACCTTAAATATATCCCCTCCTTCCAGTAGGTAGCATGAAGAAATATACAGATGAGACAAAGAAGAAATTAAATTGATATGACAAATTGATAGTAAACATCAAATTGAGAAGTAAACAGAGATTCCTTGATAGTTCATTCAGAGAAAAAAATAATCTACATTGTAGTGATGTTGTCAAAGTTATTTTTAAAAGTAGAGATTTTTTCTAACTTTTATTTATTTATTTATTTTTTTTATTGCAAGGAGGAAGGATATGGAACTATAAGTATTTTCTTTAAAGATTTGACAGAAATTATTGTAATGGGAAGAATAGTACTAATATTTCTGATTACTATAACTTAAAGGTAATAATACTAATAATAATGATGATAATAACAATAATAATAATGATAATAATAATAATAATAATGATAATAATGATAATAGTAATAACAACTGTTATTATCATTATATTATTATGATAAAAATCATAACATTAATAACAATAATAATAATTGTGATAAAATATTAAAATTATGATAATTATCATAATACGATGATAATAATAGTGATGGTAACAATGATAATAATAACCATAATTATAGCAATGATAAACAACAATGATGGTGCACGAAAATAAATAATATCGATAAAACTAAATGTAAAATGTGAGGATAATAATAAAAACTAATGTCGATGATAATAATCATGATAATAATAAAAATAAGAAAAAAACTATATCATTAATAATATGAATAGCTGTAGTGATAATGATGATAATGACAAATGATGATAAGAATAATGTTGGTGATAATGAATGATAATTGTAATAATAATAATTGATAAGTAACGATGATAATAATAATAATAATAATAATAATAATAATAATAATAATAATAATAATAATAATAATAATAATAATAATAATAATAATAATAATAATAATAATAATAATAATGATGATAATGGTAATGATAATGATAATGACAATAATAATAATAACAATAATGATAACGATAATAAAAACAAAAGTAATATAAAAAATCATAACAAGAATAATAATGACAACAACATTGTCATTAAAACAATAATGAATTAAAACAATACTAACAAAGAAACAAACAAATAAAATCCTAATAAGAGGTCAAGAATCTAGTCATAAATTTCAATACATTTTTTTTTCATATCAACATACTGCAGAGGCATCGTGGCAGAAGTGAGAAAATCTAACTATTAAAAAAAAAAAAAAAAAAAAATACTGTTAGTTTTTGAGTTCGTGAAGAAGCCAGTGACGTGTGTGGGTCATCCCAGGTGAGGAAAAAATAGTGCTATAATGAACGAGCAATAATGACTATATCCGGATGTAATTTACTACCATAATGAAACCAATGACTGACCATGACATACCACTGATATAATCATCATTACGTGATATATATATATATATCTGTATCGTATCTTTTTTGTGGAAGCTTTTGAAAATAGTGCAGGCGGCGGATTGGCAACTAAGCATGTCTGGGTGGTATTCGTGGGAGAAGAACGAGTGATAATAATTAGATAATTGAATAATGGATAAAGGAAGAGAGAAGCTCAGAGATGCGCGAGTGGAGAGGGCGAATACAGTCCTTCGTTATTTCGTGTTTATTATTTATTCATTTTTAGAAAAGGTAGAGATAATGAGGATAATGATGACGGGGACAGTAGCAATACTGACAATAATAACTTATTAGTATTATGACAATTATTATAATTATTTTGGTTTTCATTTTCATTATCATTATGATAATAGCAATTATATTAACAATAATTATAAAGAAAAGGATAATGATAATGATTATGATAGATAATAATGATAATAATAATAACAACGATAATAAGAATAAAGATAATACTAATGATAATAACATTCATAATAAAGATTATCACAATCATAATCATTATCATCATTGTTATTATCCTCATTATTGCTATTACTATTATCATTATCATCATTATCATTATCAGCATTATCATCATTATCAACACCCTACCATTATTATCATTATCAGAAGTATCGTAATTTTTGTCTTTAATGTTACTGTTATTATGATCGTCATCATCGTCATCATTACTATTATTATTACTATTATTATTATTATTATTATTATCATTATTATTATTATTATTATTATTATTATCATTATTATTATCATATTTATTATTATTATTATTATTATTATTATTATTATTATTATTATTATTATTATTATTATTATTATTATATTATTATTATTATTATTATTATTATTATCATATTATTATTAATTATCAATAATGATAATAATAATAATAATAATAATAATAATAATTATCATTATTAATAATATCATTGTTATAATTATTATCTTTACCATCATGATTATTATTATCACCATTATTATCATGATTACCATTTCAATTGTTACCATAATGATGATCATGATAATTTTAGTAATAATAGTAATAACAGTAACAATAATAATGATAATAATAATATAATAATAATAATGATAATGATAATGATGATAATAGTAATAATGATAATAATGGTAATAACAACAATCATTATCATCATTATGAAAATAACAACCATAATAATGATAATTAGAATGATAATAATAATCTTGATAACAATAATAACAACAACAATATTGTCACTAATAACATTAGTTATCTAATGATAAGTTTAACGATATGCTAATAAGAACAATAACAAATAAACAATAGCCGGAAAACTAAGAAATAAAGATAATAACAGACATAACTAAAATCATTATTATAATTACAGTTCTCATTAATCATCATTTCGATTAAAAGAAAAATTTCTCCAACTCTGACTCACGTTTTGAATATCATAATTAAAAATCATATTAACAGGAAATGAAGGTCAGTCAAAAAATAAGAAATATGATAAAATATTTTGTCAAGGTAAAGGCTAAAATAAAAAAAGAAGGTGAATGGAATCGATTAATTAAAAATGTTCATATCTTAATTAATACGAAGGACCGATGATAATTAGGTCTCTGGACTTATGATAATTTCTTTCTCAAATTCAGATTTCTTTTTATTAACTTTTTTGGAAGGGGAGGTTGGGGGGGATACAAAAGCTGTGCATAGATTGAAATCCTGCATTGAAGAGAAAACATGCAAGCCTGTACCTAATGTGCATGTTTTAATTTGAATAGAAAACGGAAAAGGAAAGAAAACGGAAAAGAAAACGAAGTTGGAGAAACGCAAGAAAGAAAACGGGAAGAGAAGAGCATCAGATTTAAATCTAAACCGCCATACAGTATCTAGCTCCATCGCTCATGTCTTATTTCAATGCGGTAGTCTGTTTAACCCACGTTAGGTATACGGCATGGTGATATGAAAATACGTAAATAAAAAGAGATGTAAACAATAGCAGAATGTGCAGCCTGTAGACGGACTCCGGACTCCGGGTATTGTGCAGGAAAACTGGAGCCACGGACAGCTGGCCGTGTACTGGTCTCAAGGATCTGTCTGAGATCCCCCTCTTTACATAACATCAAGCCCTATGGGTTCTCTCTCTCTCGCCCTTCGACCTACCCCCCCTCTCTCGCTCGCTCTCGCTCTCTCTGTCTCTTTCTACTTCTCTATCTGCAGCCATGCACGCACTCAACCACGCAATCGAGCTTGCAAGCACGCGCTTTTTTTTTTTTGGAGAGTGAATTTCACCTTGATCTCTGGAGGACTTGGTTTCTCCTTCGCTTAGCGCAGAGAGAGAGGAACGGGCGGCGGCGTGGAGAGAGGGTGAGTGGGGGGAGCGAGAGAGGGAGAGAGAGGGAGGGAGTGGGGTATGCTACACAATGTTACCTTCTTCTGCAGCAAGAGGCTGAGTTCACATACAAAACACACAAATATACACCAGCGCGCTTGCTCCCGAACCCTGAGGGAATTCTCTTCGCATATGGAGTTGTGTATTCGTCTACTTCACTTGAATGTCACCATTAAACGTGTTTTTTTTCCCTAAATGTTCATAATTTGGAGTAAAAGAAGTAGCTGCACATGTCTTATGAATCCTTTAAGCATCTCACTCATGGACTGTATGTTGTATCTGATGTGCTTCCCACAACAGCGTCCCTTCCAAAAGGTCTTTAGAGTCTTAGGAGAGTCCAACCTCGTGTCTGAGTGCGCGAATCTCCCGAATTCTCCGAGGCCGAAGGAGACAGCGCGCCGACAGTGCATGTGAACTCAGCCTGAGATGATGAATCACACCCATGCTTTTGTGAGAACTACAGGCTCACGCAGGCTCAAACTTCAACAGAGACACTCAAGCGTCTTCAACACTAAAAAAGGATCTGCTTGGACAATTTCGAGTTCTGAATCCGACAATGGATGGCTAAAAGAGGCTATATGTGGGACTGGATCTTCTTTACACGAACAACTGGACTACCCAGGCTACAGGCTACACAGGCTCGAACGGATCATAAACTAGAGGCTACACATTATGAGCGTCGGGAAAGGAGGGAGCAAGGCGTTCCCTTCTGAACAACACGATGCGAAGAGAACTAAAAACGTGAGGTTATATCAAGTAATTTACACATACAACATTACCACTACAATATACATACATACATACATACATGCATATGTCTGTGTTTATGTGTATGTACATTGTGTGTCAAAATCTATCTATCTAGCTATATATATGAGTGTGTGTGTGTGTGTGTGTGTGTGTGTGTGTGTGTGTGTGTGTGTGTGTGTGTGTGTGTGTGTGTGTGTGTGTGTGTGTGTGTGTGTTGTGTGTGTGTGTGTGTGTCTTTATGAATATCTAGATCCCAATATATGCATCTGTATCTACATATGCAAATCTACCTTTCTATCTACATATATATAATATATATATATATATAATATATATATATATATATAATATATATATATATAATATATATATTTATGTGTGTGTGTATACTATGTATGTCCATACATATTACGAAAGCTGAAGCGAAAGAGGCAGTTGTAAGAAAAAAGATGTAGACAAAAGTTGTAGAAGGTGCAATGTCTATGTTTGTCGTCGTATCATAGCTCGGTTATTATGGTGTGTTGTAGGTACTGCAATTTTGTGCTCTGTCGTTTTTATTGTTTTAAAAAATCTGAGGGTATATAAGGGAATATATATTTTTTTCTTTCTCTCTTTCTCTTTTTAGATAAGAATTTAGAGGCGTGAGGGTGTTGTTATTCTTGTATTTCGCCTGTTGTCTGAGGTGGCTGTGTTGTTGGGGTTGATATCACCTTAATCGATAACTGCATTGAGGTGCGTTTTCGTGAAGCTGTCTTGCCAACTCTTTCAATATTTTTTTCCAAAGTCTTTCGAAGGAGGAAGACAACGATGATATCCAGAGTAGAAAAAAAATAGAAAAAAAGTATATACTTACAGAATTACGTTATAAAAAATTAAGTAATCACATCCTAGAGACATTTACACCCAAGGATGATTCTTGGAAATGGAAAAAAAAACAAAAACAAACAAAAAACAGTGATTTCCTTCTGCGAGACTTTCGAGAAAATATCCGTCTGGTGAGTTGGCAGAACAGGGTGACCAGTATACAAAAGAACGCGAATCTGTCCCTCAGGCGTCCGGATCCCAAAAGCAGCAGAGGTCCACCTCGAGTCCCGCCCGCGGCCGCACTGCCACGGGCCGCACTCTCCTGCCGGCTCCACCACCGCTTTTGAGACCCGGATGATCAAGGTACCCAGTAGTGACGTAACGATGGCCGTCATGACGTCACAGTAGTAATGACGTCACGGCAATATGGCGGCAGCAAACTGCACATCGTCGTGACGTCACAATGTATTCGCTTTCTTAAGGACAAAATAAACTAACAAAAATAATCTGCAGCCTATTTCTAAAGTGTAGCGACTAATTGGCTAATGAGCCCTAAAAAGAAGTGAATGAGAAATATAAGAAAAGAGAAGTACGCACCCTCTTCGTCTACGAAATGTTGAAGTGTAGGGGATAGGATGGGGGTACGATTAAAACAACGACTTTGGTTACTCAACAACGATAACAACAACAACAACAACATTGGTTACTAGACAAATGCAAATTTCTGTGAACTGGTGGCTGTAAATTTCCTATATTTTGACAAAGTGACGTTAAGCGCAGTTTAAGGTATATATGACACTCAAAATGCCAACAGTCCTCAGACCAAAAAATAAAAGTTATTATCAATTTTGTATACTCAAGATATTTATAATAGAAGCGCAACTGTACAAGATGGGTGATCAAACACTAGTTCATATCAAGACATTTTTTATAAACATGAACCTAGAATCACTTCCAAATAAGGTAACAAACCATGCAGACCGCTAACTAATTCCAAAACTTCACAATATACACTGGAAATGAATTAAAATGACGTCACAGCTACCGAGGCAGGTGCGTTCCCAGAAGAGGAAGGCGTTTTTGTAACTTTTTCGAAGTTTAGGGGACACGTGTGTAAACCTTTTGTTTCGAGAATTCACCTTTAATATGTGGGAGCATCAAATTTAAAAGGAAAGGTGGATTTATTTTGAATCTTATCTGTCAGATCAACATGTAACTCTAAGTGGCCAAAACACGCATTTATTAGTTCATGTTGGGTGTGTCTTTTTCCTCGTAAGTGAATAAGTTTAGTTACAAACACCAAAATTGATATTTTTCTGGATATATAAGAATATCTAACAACATTCAGCGTTTTTCTTAAACAATCGTATACGTTTTCCTAAACACTGGAAGGGATGGCATGAATGCGGATTCACTCAGCGCGTCTGCAAAAACGCTTCCGTCTGCTCGGACCGACTGCTGGTAGTTCGGTCGTGACGTCATCATGCCTACATCTACCATTGATACACCTTTGCTGTTATCAACACTCAAGGAGGAACTATCAAACGTTTACTTAGAGAAAAAGGATTTAAAAAACGAGAAATGAGAAGAAAACCGCAATGCACTAGCTACAGCTGGGGACATTGAGATATTTGAACGGAAGACCAAAATAAATGACTGTACACGAGCTAGCTTTTGTTTTTTTAGCGGGCGATAAGAAAACAAAACAGATTTGGAAAAAAAAGCGGAGGAAACTCACCTGCATGTTCACTGGCTTGGCTCTGTCTTCCCGCCTGTGCCTCAGCTTGCTCTATGATCTCATTGAGGACCATCACATCTGTCGAGAGGAAGAGTGACGTCACAAGAGGTAGACATTTAGAATAAGAGAGAGAGAGAGAGAGAGAGAGAGAGAGAGAGAGAGAGAGAGAGAGAGAGAGAGAGAGAGAGAGAGAGAGAAAAGAGAAAAGAAAGAAAGAAAGAAAGAAAGAAAGAAAGAAAGAAAGAAAGAAAGAAAGAAAGAAAGAGAAAGAGAAAGAGAGAAGAGAAGAGAGAAAGAAAAGAGAAAGAGAAACAGACAGACAGACAGAAATAGAGACAGAATCACCAGTTTTTTTCTACAAGACGGTCTTATCTCCGTCTGAGTTGAAAGGATAAGAAAGATAATAAAGAATTTTACATCAATAAGACGCCATTCATTGCCATTCTTTCTGAACTCGTCACATTGAACTCTGATTCTCGGATAATTTTTTTTTTTTCTCAGCCTAAAAACTCGTTTATTATTGCGTGACACTGGAAGAAAATATGTTAGTTTTAAACCCTCCTCAAAAATTTGCATAAAAGGCTACTTCTATTGGCTTGAAATTGTTAATAATAGTATGACTATATTGACTGATAGGACTGTAGGTCTGTTGGTCATGCTATCGTCCATTTTACAGACAGGTGGAAAAAATGTTGGTTTTTGGACTATACCAATTGATGAGCCAACTTGACTAGGTTTATATTTAGTATCAGAGTTCGAATTCTGGTTGTAATACACTTTTTTTAATGAGCAATGTCCTTTTTTTTGACAAATTTTGCGTCAGAGTTCATGGAATGGGACGTACTTTAGCTCATGGCCAAACTACCCCAGTTTTGAGTCAAAAGTCAAAAGTCAAAACACTTTATTCCATTAATTACACTGGTTATTCTTTACATAAATACATTCATATCTACAATTGATTATTTAATAGGTGTTCTTTTGATTCTAATGAGGTTGGGGAGAAGGAGGGGGAGCAAGAGGAAAGCGGGGATGGGGAGGAGGGATGCAAGGATGAGGAGGAGGCCGAAGGTGAGGAGAAGGAAGCCGAGGACGAGGAGAAGGAGGCTGAGAATAAGGAATAGGAGGACGAGGGTGAGGAGAAGGAAGCCGAGAACGAGGAGAAGGAGGCTGAGAATAAGGAATAGGAGGACGAGGAGCGAAGATGAGGAAAGGGAAGCTGGGGGGGAGGAGGAGGTCGAAGGTGAGGAACTGGAAGCCAAGGACGAGGAGAAGGAGACTGAGAATAAGGAATAGGAGGACGAGGGTGAGGAGAAGGAAGCCGAGAACGAGGAGAAGGAGGCTGAGAATAAGGAATAGGAGAACGAGGGTGAGGAGAAGGAAGCCGAGGACGAGGAGAAGGAGGCTGAGAATAAGGAATAGGAGGACGAATTGGTGAGAAGGATGAGAATAAGGAATAGGAGGACGCTAAGGCGAGGAAAAAGGGACCCGAGGACGAGGAGAAGGAGGCTGAGAATAAGGAATAGGAGGACGAGGCCGAGGGCGAGGAGAAGGAATTCTAAGGCGAGGAAAAAGGGACCCGAGGACGAGGACGACGTCGAGGCCGGCCACTCACCTCGCATGTCGAGGACGGCGTGTTTCTGGATGGGGTCGATGAACGGGTTGGCGTCCGGGTTCTTCAACTTGAACTGCAGCACCTCCTCCTGTTCCATTGACGTGTCCTGCAACGGCAGCGCGAGGGTTCAGTCATCCTAAGCGGGGCAGCGGTCAGGGCGGGTCGGGTCAGGTCAGGTCAGGTCAAGGTGAACTCAGTCCCGGTCAGTCCTTTTGATATTCTATGAGTGCTTTTTTTTTTTTTTTTTTTTTTTTTTTTTTTTTTTAAGAAAAAGTCCTAATTAATTTTGATGGATAACATTATATAGCAAACTCTGCACTGAGCAAAATCTTCCTTCTTAGCATTCAGTATGAACAATTTGCATCAAACCTACGAATTCATGAAGCTGAACTGAAAAGATAAGTTTGTGTCCATTAAACG